GTCTACGTGAGCAACACATGCATGCACACGGTCCCAACAGAAAACCCAGTTTTTGCCCATTTACGCATGGCTGCCCTTACCGTGGTTGGTCAGCGACAGTCCCTGTTTTCCAGTCTCAGACAGAAACAGGGAAATAAAGTGCCAAAAAATTACACAGAGGCAGGTGCCCAGTCAGAAGTGAAGAGTTCCTACTCCTGTTGATGGGCAAAAAATGGGCCGTGTGCACGCATGTTTTGCTCACATTTTTTTGTTGGCTTTATGTAGGCTATTGACCACACCAAAAAGAACAAGTCAAGTGTCACTGTACACATCACAAACAGCTCAATGTTTGCTATTACTGAAGTGCTTGGCGCGTTCACGTGGCGCGCGTGTCAGGATTACAATACCACGTGCTTTTCTTTATTTCCTCTCGTGCCTCACTGGAAAAGCAATAAAAATCAATCGATTCTTCAATTTGCCGCAAATACAGTACAAACCTCACCTGTGCGTTTTTAATGGCGCTGAGTATATCTAAAAAAAAACTGGGTCTCATATAATAAAGGTCAAGCCAAGAAGTTGAAAACTGTTTAAAAGTGACCGATGTTCGGAGACACTATCCTGTAGCCTACAACTGAGTGAAGAATGTTCAACAACCTGAAGAAACCCCTCGCGCTTCAGCCGCTCAATTCAACGGAGGTCGATGCTCTTTAGAAAGGACAATATATACAGATAAAGGACGAGACTGGAGCACTCCAATCGCTTGCAACAATTTATATAGGTGCCAAGAGTAACGTTTCGATGCACTGCGTCATCCTCAGAGTCAAACCTCTGAGTAAGATGTGGTTCATCGAGACGTTAGTCTTGGCACCAAAATAAATTGTTGCAGGCGATTTGAGTGCTCCAGTCTCGTCCTTTATCTCGATGTTCAACAACCAAAAGTTCTAAAAGGTGTTTCTTACATTCACTTGGTGAGCACCCACAAAATCAGCTGTGTGACATCTGACTTGGTCATTTAGTTACCAGGGACCTGGCAGAACTATAGAGGTGGCCCTCCCAGCCATTCCCCCAAAGACTCCGCCCTGTCAAAACCAGCCCAAGGCCTTGACGCATAGGCTAACTCAGAAAATAAATTTAAATAAACCCAGCCTACACCACAGTCTAACTCATTTGCAGGATTAAAATGAAGGAATTCCATGACTCTAAGGAATATGATATGTTTATAGAGGAAAAAAAAGAAGTTAAGCCTGGAAAGCGTGTTATGAGACAGAACGGTAGAGATGGGCGTGGGACATGCTGATCTCAGCAGCGACGCAGCATAAGAGGAGAATAGGGTTACCACCATCTCCATCTCTCTCGTTGACACATAAGGTTTCATTTTCCGGCTCAGCACTGCGCTGCTCTCTCTCGTCTCAGGCAAAGGAGGTATTTAGCTCTGAGACCAAGCAGGATATACAAGTCAAATCTCTGATATCAGCATTTACATAGTGCGTGCCAGTTTAAACCTGGACTATTTCCTGGAATAGTCCAGAGGTAATTCGGCCATATAATTATGAAAGCATGAAGCAGTCTGGGGCTCAGTGTTTCAGGACTAAAGAAAGCAGAAGATTCTTTGTGAAGGAAGACCTAAGGTTACAGCCAATGATCTGTACGTTTTACTGTTAAAAGAGGGTTTGACAGCACAGTGACACTTTGAAACTGAATGTAAATACAAACTGAGGAAGTGAGATAAGACAACGCAGCCCTGAAGTCATTGTAGGATGTTGAAAGTCTCTAAGGATATTCTACAGGAACACTTCTGATGTGCTTTCCCACTGATTCAAAGTCCTACTGTAGTTTCCAAGCCCTCTGGACAATAAAAATAAACCTTAATCAGAAAGTAGATTTTGCTGAACTTAAGAAATACATGCCTGGAAATGATAATCAATTACAAAGTCCTTTTGCATACATCAGAGTTTACACAGAAGTTGATACTGGTGAGCGGGAAGGAAGTTTACTTTTAAACACCCAAGACAACGGAGATGGAGGAAAATACACAAATGAAAAAAGAACTACGCCCTGCTGTCAGCAGAAGCAGTGTGATGCTGCTCAGATGCACAGTGATGTAAACTGATGAGCCAGAACATTATGACCACCTGCCTAAAATGCTGGAGGTCAAAACAACACCGTCAAATTCACAATTTACCTCAGCATTGTACTCCCTCCATCAGCTCATCTTCTTCGCACAGTCCATCTTGGTGCCACTTCACCAGGTAAATGGAGTACACAAAGCCAGCCAATGTACAAGATCTGCAACCCAATTCTAAACAAGCATGAAATACTCGGATCCCCTGCCATGAGATGGCTGATATTTCAAAACAAAATTCATGAAACAGCGAAAAGCATTTTCCGGAAATGGAGGGCGGATGGAAGTATGAAAAGGCGCAGCTACGTTTAAAGATGTATATTAAATTCAACTGGAAAATATTGAATGATTTTGGCATTCCGGCCAGTAAACGAAACGCAATGGTATATGAACAGATTGACAGGACAGATGGGAACAACAAAAGGTACTTCTACATTATAAAGTGAATGTTTTTTTTTTTTTTTTAGATTTTTTAAAGAAAAATGTTGAACGGTTCACAAGTTCTGGCCCGAAAAAGCAGCATGACGGAAGGACAGACACATGGACAGACAGGCAGAAGGGCAAAACTCATTCCTCTATCCCCCTTCCATGATGTGACGGGATGTAAAAAGATTATACAGTGACTTGGGGACATAACCCCAGAAGAAGAGGTGGGGAGGGACCCCCACATAAGCATAGCACTATTCAGTACAGATGTTGTGGGCGAAGCTGAGGCAGCCAGAAGGAGTGCACACTTTGCCAGCGCTGAACTGTCCCACAGGAGGATAGAGTAGCTTAAAGGGAACTTGGTTCCAATCCTGCTGACCGTAGATGGATTAGGAGCTTGTTCCTAACAAACTGAACTGAGGAACATACTTGGAGAGGGTTAACAAGAGCACGGTCCCAATACTGGACCCTGATTAGGCTTGAGAGCTTGTTCCCATTAAAATGGACTGACATGAGCTGGATTAACTTGAATGCAGTCCCAATCTTGAACCCTGAGTAGGCTTGGAAGCTTGTTTGAGTAAACCAAGTAAAGAGGAAAGCTTCCAGGAATAGCAGTCATTGAAGTGCGCATTACACTTAAAAAAGACAAAAGTCTCTACTAGTACTAAGGACAAAAGTCAAATCACACTTCAGCAACTTGCAACACAAAGCAGGGGGCTTAAATGCGCGCCACGTGGTCATTAGGAAATAACCATGAAATGAGACACAGCCGAGGAATGGCGAACACGCAAGACAGAGACCAATCATACTTTTAATGGACACACCAGTTGCTGAATAGGAAGAGACATGAAAGGCATTCACACGAGGTTTGTGTGACATTCACCCTTTCATTACTCAAAACAGTGAAGTAATACATTAATTTCTGTCTGAACAATCAGATAAAATTGCTTTTCAAATATGTGCAATGTGGTGACTGCAAAAGAGTCCAAAAAAGTTGGCACATTTAACGGTTTACCACTGTGTAACACCACCACGTCTTTTAATCGCAGTCAATCAGCATTTGGGAACTGAAGACACCAGACCCCATTCCTCTATTAAGCAGGTCTTCAACTGCAGTTGTACAGTGCCTTCTTTGCCCTGTATTTTGCTTCATAACATGTCATACATGCTCAACAGGACAGCCAGGCCAATCTAGCGCCTTCACTCTCCGCTCATACAGCCACACACTTTTAATCTGTGCAGAATGTCATTTGCCATTGTCTTGCAGGAAAATTATGGACATCCCTCGATCAGACAACGTCAAGAGAGCATATGTTATAGCAAAATTTATACACGTCTTTCTGCATTAATGATGCCCTCGCAAATATAGAAGTCATCCCTTGCATGTGCATTGACACCCCCCCATACATACCATGATATAGGCTCACTTTTGGACCGGAAAATGATAACAGCGTTGGTTGTCCATATCTTTTTTGGTCTGGAAAACACGGTGACTGTTTTTACAGTGCTGCTGCTTCTACTCCCACTCAGGACCCCAGAGCCCACAGAAGTTGGCAGTGCTGTTGGACAGTGTTGATGTCTAGCTTTGGATTTGCATAGCGAAACTCTGGCTTCAGCGTTGACTGATACAGGTTTACCAAAGTAGATTGGAGCCCTTGTTGTGATATCCATTACAGTCCAATGACAGTTGTTAAAAGACAGTGATGTCTGAGGGATCGAATATCACGGGCATTCCCAAGTAGTTGTTGGTACTGCCCTTTACGCTCCAAAATTCAACTGATTTCTTCCATCTTTTAATTTTATTACGCACTACAGAGGGTAAAATGTTGTTCTCAACATGATGGATTATAAGCTTACAAATCTTTTGGCACAACTGGTGAGCCTCAACCCATCTTTGCTCTTGAGAGATCAAGCCTATTTTGTGGGCCCTTTCATACCATAACGCGATTAGCTCACCTGTTTATCATCACCTACTTAACATCACTTTACTATCTCAAGTTATCACATCAGATTAGCCGTAAATAGCCCCAGTGCCAAATTAGACTATTTGGAGTATGGTGCAGTCATCAGTCTTCACATAAGAAAATATTTTCAATATACAAATGAATTCACAAGTAAAAGCATCAAATAAAGTGCTGTTGACATGTTTTCAATATAGAGGAGGATTGGAGGACTATTTACATCACTCATATTTTTTCATTTATTTGCATTTTCTATGATATGACAACTTATTCAGAATTTGGGTAGGTTAGTGATGGATATGAACAGGGCCACAGAATATAATCAAAGACAGTGCTTACTGAAGTGACTAGGAGTATTAATATGCCCCCTGGATGGGATGCTAGTCCATTGCAGGTTAGTCCCCCAGCTCTTAGCAAGGTTATCCTGACAATTTGCCGGTACCTAATTATACATCCGGGTGGAGTCAGGCATTGTGAGAGTAAAGTGTTTTTGCCCAAGAACATGCTGCAAAAGCCAAGGCAAGGACTCGGACTCAGGACCTTTTGGTCCCAAGTCAAGCACACTTACCCACTATGCCACCGTGTCCTCCGACCCACCAGCCAAATGCTGGTCAAATATGCAAGCGGCTGGAAGATTTCAGGCACAATATAATGATTTACTATTGAGTGATTGGTGAATCTGAATATTTATCTGTCACTGGCTGGTACATGTTCGCATTTTATAAAGTTACTTTCCCATCCTGGTCACATCTGTTTTTGCCTGAACTACTGGAAGTGAAAACAATGTCTCTAAATCCAGACTGGCTGCACCCTAACTTCATCAAAGTTGGAGTTTGAGGGAATGTTCCCCCTCATGCAACATCTCCTCATTAAACCCCTTAAATCTTTTCAAACTTAATGAATGCGCAGAGGCATGAATAGGACAGCATCACAAAAGCTTATTTACACCTCTTTGGGCACTGAGGCAACCTCGTTAGAGGAATGCAAAGCTGCAGCACTTCCAAACAGTAAAATGCCTCGTAAATGAGTACTGCTAGGACCATATGAACCCTGTAAGAGCTGCTTTAACGCTTTAAATTTCACTGAGAAGAGCCCCTTCCAGCTCCCCACCTTGCTCATCTCTGCGACAACAACTGCAACACTGGTGGCGTCGCTGCCACCAGAGTAGCGGTGTCACTGGTTCCCAAACTCTGTCTTTGGGCCCCCCGTTTATGCTCGTTTTTGTTCCAACTGCACTGACCCATCAGTGCCCTGCACAAATCCCAGATTTTTAACAAGCTGTTCATTATCAAGGGAAAAATTACTAAAAGAATCACACAAGGTTTAAAAACAATATTCCGTCAGAAATAAGCGTGCATGCCATGAAGACTACAATATGACCATGCAGCGCTTATTGGTCTATATCGCAGAGAATACAAACATGTCAATAAGCAAAAATTGCATGAAAACAAGAAAATATGAATATTAAGATGAAAGAGTAAAGTGAATCAATTGACAAAATTTTGCGTGGACACCATGCCACTAAACCTAACTACCAAGAGGATAATGAATACTTCAAAGATTAAGCAAATTATAACAAGGCAACCAGAATTGTAATAAATATCAAGGAAAAAATACATATGATCAAGTACTCAATCACCAAGTTCAGAGCCCATTAACTTTGGTGTTTCATTTGTTACCTATAGTTTTATCTAAATGCTGGCCATACTGAGCACAATGAAAACTTGGGATGGGAAATGGGTGTTTCTACAGAAAAGGGCACAATTAAGGTAAAAACGGTCCACCCATTTTTTTGACAATGGAACTTAGCTTTCCTATTAATTTGGGGGCTAGAAATATTGGGCATTATATTTGCAATTAGGGGCAACTTTAAAAAGGGACACTCATTCTAATGACCTTGACATCCAAGGTCAGAGTATGACGCAAATGTCCATACTGGAATCATTCAAAATTGAGCCAACAGAAAATTCAGTTGAAAATCAAACCCTTTTCACTGATGACTCAGACCTGCCACCAGAAACAAGTCTTCTTTAGTATTTCAAGTTACATTTGAAAAGCTATTGGTTCAGGAAAAAAGGGATTAACCCCTTCCCCTCGACCAAAAGCAGATGTCCTTTAAGTTTGGTTTTCCCCGTCTTTACCGTAATCAGTCAGCTATTTTAGTTCTACAGTTATCCACCAGATGTCAATCCTGCCCTAAAACAAAAACAACTTCATCAACAACAACAACAACAACAACACAAAAGGAGGCCATTTTGAAACCTTTTGGGTGTGGTGGCTGAGTGCCAAGGCTCAGGTAGTATTCGAATTTTTACTTGTCACACAAATTAAATGTCTTTGCCGTAATCATGAAAATATGTTTTTGTAGCTAGTGCTTCTTTATGAGGTTATGCTTGATTAGAAACCTTTTCAGAGAGGTAGGAAATAAGGGAAACTTCAGCCCTCACATTGGTTGCAAATTTCCATGGGGCTGCATTATATGTCTTTACCGTAATCAACTGCTCTGCCAAGGTATTCGGTGTTGTGTATATAAGTGGAAAAAAATCCTGGAATGTGGAAATTTCTTTTTATCAGAGTCCAACATGATGTTCTCGTGACAAAAAGGTTTTCAAATTTGAACTCGGCTTCTAAACCATCTACTAACAATACATACTGCAGTTACATACATATGATTGTAGTCCTGATGATACTGCTGTTTTCCATGTTAAAAATTTTTGTGTTTCTAGTTTGCATTTAATCAAAATAAACTTTTTATGCAGAATATTGATTCACTTGTATATTCACTGTCTTGACGCATGCATTGATTGTGAAGGGTGAAATATATGAGGCTCTGGCAAAACGGACCATTTTGGAACATATAAATTACTAGTACTTTACAGTTCAGAAAAATTATGCAGGGGCATGTTGGAATATAGTTAATTTGGCATTTAGGCCCTACCCCCAAAATAACTTAGTCTGCAAAAATTCCTCACCCTTTACAGCCAGTGCATGTTCGGACTGCAAAAGTGGAGACCTGCCTTCTCACACTCACAGTAGAGTTAACAATGAACCTTTCAATGCCTTTGACAAGTTTCAATGACCAAAAGATTCAAGCAGGAAGTATGATACTCCTTTCTTCAGTGCAATTTGCCAAAAACACTGATTACTGTAAAGAGGTATGTCACTTCACCTTTACCATAATTGTTGATTACGGTAAAGACATCTGACCATCTTAAAGTTTGTTGAAAAAAAAAATAAAACCAACCATAACCCAGCTTTACCATTTTAATACTGACTAGTACTTTGGAAACCCTATTTAAAGAAAAAAAAAAAAAAAGAGGAATCCCAGAGAAAATTTTTGGTGGACATGTCTTTACCGTAATCATGCCCTTTTCTGTAGAAACGACCAAATATGCCCTTTGTGGAGTTATAAAGCTGGCATACCGTGGAGGTAAATAATTCCTTTGAGCATCAAAAGCACATAAGAAAAAGGAAGACCTTATCAAAAATCTGGGATTGCCACAGCAGATGAAACAAAAACCAGCATATACAAGGAAGCCCCACCACTGAGTTTGAGAACCACTAGCTAAAAGAGACTTTAGGCAAGAGACCAACACAGTAAAGCAGGAGAACAGAAACAAAGAGAAAGATTAAAAAGTACACAGGCAATAAGATGGATATGGAGACAAGCATATGTGGAACCAGAAGTGGAAAATCGAGGGGTTAGAAAGCTCAAGTCCAGGCATGTTTTTCTCCCACCTATGAACTCACCATCTGATTGTACCATATTTGTTCTTTCGCTCTAGCTCAAAGCTGAAGAACTACTCAAACATGCAGGTAAATGATTTACAAAATACTGAGGAGGATATTTTTTACTTCAACTATCTGAGCCTGGACTTTCAATCTTGGCAAATAACATGCAGACTACAAGACAGGCAACCCATCCGACATAGACCAAACAAACAGTAAGACATGGTAATGGCTGACAAAGGTTGGAGGTACTCACTGGAACAGCGCAGACTCTGTTTGTATAGACCCCATATGAAATCACCACACAGATCACACCAGGTAGGGTGGGCATGGGTGCAGGGTTGGAAGTCATGTCCCTCCCCAGTCTGATCAGTGAGACGCGGGTCCACGCTCTCCCCCAGAAGCCGAATAATCCGCACCCTGTTCAGTAGCTCAGGAACCTTCCCAGGGCTGATGCGCAATGCATTGACCCGCTCCAGGCGGGGTGTTCGTGGTGCTGGGGGGGAATTTGATCCGGTCAGCTCAATCCGGTCAACCAGAGACAGCTCCTGTAGTTCAATCAGCTCACCCCGAGACATCCTGCAGTAGGCAGGCAAGTTCACACGCAGTCGAGCAAGGCCAATCTCGACCTGAGATCAGTCACTGACAGCCATGTAGATCCTCTTCAGAGTGCATTTTAACCCTCTGACTCCAAAAACATTATACATTGACTATACTGCAGGCACTCTTGGCAAAGCTTTAAAAAGTAATTTCATCCGCCTCTTGACTTGTCCATGCTATGAAAGTCCAACAGAAAGTGTTCACATTATTGGCTTCACGGTATCCAGTAAAATTCAACCCCATGCACACATATTTAAGCCATGGCGGAGAAGTCATTGATGTATCTCTAAAATATCAGTTCCTGTTCTGCTCACCACAGTAGTTTTCTGCAAAACATCCAAAGACAACACGTGGAATTTCCGTTCTGTTGAAATTTAGCCACCAATCTGTACAAAAATTACGCTGTGGAAAAAAACAATTAGAAGAGCTGTCGTCCAATAACTCAGGTAATCAGTAAACATGAAAAGAGGCAGCATGATTAATGTTGAAAGAATATAACCCAAAAAGTCACATTGTCTTTAAAATAGCAGCCAAGACCCTGGAGCTAATAATAATAATAATAATAATAATATCATGAGTAGGCTACTGTACATTCTAATATGTCCATTTGGAACACACTTGTGGCAGTCCTTATATTCAATGTTTGAAAACCTGGATTAATTCTTTTAAAAGCATTAAAGATTTTCTCTTGTCAGCAGATGTATTGGGAAACTCTCAAATCCCTCGGAAGTAGTACATCGGGATCTGTCCTTAAAATTCATCCGTGTGAAAGCAAATCATGTGAATCACAATCCAAATAAATGCAGCACACAAAGTTAGAGAAACCAATCCTCAAGATTCCATCTCTTCAAGTTTTTCAGTTGCCCAGCTATCATGTGACAAAGTGGCAAGGCTGTAAAGTTCTGACGACGTACAGTCAGAAAAATTATATGAAATGACGTCAAGCTTAATCTAAATAGGCACTTTTCCTGACCTGCTGATATAGCCCAGGCAATGGGTTTGGTGTAATGAACTCGTCTAAAACTGTATGTCACGATATGACAATGAATTAACTCGAAGCGCGCTACATCTGTGAAATCCTCCTCATGAGATCATTTCCCCCAGCCGGCTTACAGCTGACGGCATAGTGTTTGTTAATTATGAGAATTACAGTTGAGACTTCAGTTCGCTATAATAAACGCTAGTCCTGTACTTACAGGCAAACGATGACAAATTCAGCATTACGATGGGCAGCACAACATTGCCGCCCTTAAGGCA